AGCCGCCGCCGCCCTCGCCCCCTATCGCCTTCGCCGCCAACGAGCGTGCGCGCCTCGATCGCCGCCCCCTCCCTCGCCGGATCCACCGTCGACGCCGCCGCCGTCGCCTCCTCCGTCGCCGCCGCCTCCAAGCCCGCCTCCGCCTTCTCCTCCGCCGCCCTCACCACCCCCTCCGTCGCCGCCACCGCCAAGTCCGCCTCCTCCCTCGCCGCCGCCGCCCAGCCCTCCGCCGCCCTCACCACCACCACCCTCGCCGCCGCCGCCCTCGCCGCCGCCTCCGAGCCCTCCGCCTCCAAGTCCGCCTCCGCCCTCCCCGCCGCCGCCCAGCCCGCCGCCACCGTCGCCGCCGCCTCCAAGCCCGCCACCCCCGTCGCCTCCGCCGCCCAGCCCGCCGCCGCCATCGCCGCCGCCCTCGCCGCCGCCGCCGTCCCCACCGCCGCCGTACCCACCACCTCCGTCACCGCCGCCGCCATCGCCGCCGCCTCCTCACCATAACGCACCACCACCCTCGCCCATGCTACCTTCTGGTGCTGAGCTAGATGGGATTGCGGTGTATGTGAACACCGGCTTCAATGTCACAAGCTTCTCCACGGGGAACTCGATCGTCGATTGCGACGAGTTCGCGTGCCTGGAGCCTGGGCCAACTAGCGGCCTGTACTGTAACCCTCACATCCACATCGTCGACTACGACGAGGCGGGCGACTCGTACGTCAACTTTAATCACATCTTGGACGCTGAGGACTTGTGTGCCGATGGCGACTCGCTCAGCAACACCACGTTTTGCACTATTGGAATCGACAAGAGCTACCTTGACGTCGAATCCTCGCGCCTCATCTTCGACTTTGCGTCGGCGTACGAGGGACTCAGCGATGACGCTGAGATGTTCAACATGACAGTTGAGATGTTCAACATGACAGTCGACGAGGTAGATCCAGCTCGGCGACTGTCCCAGACCTTGCAAGAACGTATCGACGAGGTAGATCGAGCTCAAAGCGTGGATGACAAATTCCCCTCGAAGACAGTGCTTGAAGACTCAGTTTGCGACAAATGCCCCTTCTGCGAGGCTGGCTTCGAGTTGCTAGACGGCTGTGCAGCCATGAAATGGCGCCCTCCGGTCTGCTCTGGGCGCAAGAAAGTCGATCGGAAAAAGTGTAAGCTGTGGTACGATCAAAAAATGTTCAAAAAGCCCGCTAAAAAGACACGCCTCGACCGCAACGTTCGACTTACCAAGCCGGAGTTTACTGACGCTTTGAGCGTTCGGGGCAATGCCAACGGCGTACTCAATCGGCGGCAATTCGCAACCGTCGCAAGTAAAGCGAAAGAGCTCTTTGGAAGCTACCTTAACGTGGTCGTTGAACGGCAGAAGCTGAGCCTGAGAGAAGAAGGAAAGACCGCGTTCTACTATGCGCGCGAATGCGCTTCTAATGGCCTAACGACAGAATCAACTGTCATCGAAGGGTTCAACCTCGATAACTTCAATTTGACAGCCGTGTTCGAAGGTGGCGAGGCTAGGAGAAGGCGGCTGTCCGAGTCAGGAAGCGGGCCAATGACGATCACGATCCCAGCCCAATCGCCAAGTTCACCACCGCCCAATCACCCTATGCCACCATCACCCCCACCATCTCCGCCGCCGCCATCGCCGCCGCCGCCCTCGCCGCCGCCCTCCCCACCGCCTCCGAGCCCGCCTCCATCGCCACCGCCCTCGCCGCCTCCGCCCAGCCCACCGCCTCCGTCGCCACCGCCCCCGAGCCCGCCGCCGCCCTCGCCGCCGCCCTCGCCGCCTCCGCCAAGCCCGCCGCCGCCCTCGCCACCGCCGCCCTCGCCCCCTCCGCCCTCGCCGCCACCCAGCCCTCCGCCTCCCTCGCCGCCCCCTGCCTCGCCGCCGCCGCCCTGGCCGCCACCGCCCTCGCCGCCGCCCTCGCCGCCGCCTCCAAGCCCGCCTCCGCCTTCTCCTCCGCCGCCCTCACCACCCCCTCCGTCGCCGCCACCGCCAAGTCGGCCTCCTCCCTCGCCGCCGCCGCCCAGCCCTCCGCCGCCATCACCACCACCACCCTCGCCGCCGCCGCCCTCGCCGCCGCCTCCGAGCCCTCCGCCTCCAAGTCCGCCTCCGCCCTCCCCGCCGCCGCCCAGCCCGCCGCCACCGTCGCCGCCGCCTCCAAGCCCGCCACCCCCGTCGCCTCCGCCGCCCAGCCCGCCGCCGCCATCGCCGCCGCCCCCGTCGCCGCCGCCTCCGAGCCCACCCCGGGCCAGCCCGCCACCTCCCTCGCCTCCACCGCCCTCGCCACCGCCTCCGAGTCCACCGCCCCCGAGCCCACCCCCCCCGAGCCCGCCGCCGCCATCGCCACCGCCTCCCAGCCCCCCGCCACCGTCGCCGCCGCCGCCCTCGCCGCCGCCGTCGCCGCCTCCCCCAAGCCCACCACCGCCCTCACCCCCACCACCGAGCCCGCCGCCTCCGAGCCCGCCTCCGTCTCCACCACCGCCCTCGCCTCCCCCGCCCTCGCCGCCGCCTCCGTCGCCACCGCCCCCGAGCCCGCCGCCGCCCTCGCCGCCGCCCTCGCCGCCTCCGCCAAGCCCGCCTCCGCCCTCGCCACCGCCGCCCTCGCCCCCTCCGCCCTCGCCGCCACCCAGCCCTCCGCCTCCCTCGCCGCCCCCTCCCTCGCCGCCGCCGCCCTCGCCGCCGCCGCCCTCGCCGCCGCCCTCGCCGCCGCCTCCAAGCCCGCCTCCGCCTTCTCCTCCGCCGCCCTCACCACCCCCTCCGTCGCCGCCGCCGCCAAGTCCGCCTCCTCCCTCGCCGCCGCCGCCCAGCCCTCCGCCGCCATCACCACCACCACCCTCGCCGCCGCCGCCCTCGCCGCCGCCTCCGAGCCCTCCGCCTCCAAGTCCGCCTCCGCCCTCCCCGCCGCCGCCCAGCCCGCCGCCACCGTCGCCGCCGCCTCCAAGCCCGCCACCCCCGTCGCCTCCGCCGCCCAGCCCGCCGCCGCCATCGCCGCCGCCCCCGTCGCCGCCGCCTCCGAGCCCACCCCCGCCCAGCCCGCCACCTCCCTCGCCTCCACCGCCCTCGCCACCGCCTCCGAGTCCACCGCCCCCGAGCCCACCCCCCCCGAGCCCGCCGCCGCCATCGCCACCGCCTCCCAGCCCGCCGCCACCGTCGCCGCCGCCGCCCTCGCCGCCGCCGTCGCCGCCTCCGCCAAGGCCACCACCGCCGCCACCCCCACCACCGAGGCCGCCGCCTCCGAGGCCGCCTCCGTCTCCACCACCGCCCTCGCCGCCTCCGCCCAGCCCACCGCCACCGTCGCCACCGCCCCCGAGCCCGCCGCCGCCCTCGCCGCCGCCCTCGCCGCCGCCCTCGCCGCCTCCGCCAAGCCCGCCGCCGCCCTCGCCACCGCCGCCCTCGCCCCCTCCGCCCTCGCCGCCACCCAGCCCTCCGCCTCCCTCGCCGCCGCCGCCCTCGCCGCCGCCCTCGCCGCCGCCTCCAAGCCCGCCTCCGCCTTCTCCTCCGCCGCCCTCACCACCCCCTCCGTCGCCGCCGCCGCCAAGTCCGCCTCCTCCCTCGCCGCCGCCGCCCAGCCCTCCGCCGCCATCACCACCACCACCCTCGCCGCCGCCGCCCTCGCCGCCGCCTCCGAGCCCTCCGCCTCCAAGTCCGCCTCCGCCCTCCCCGCCGCCGCCCAGCCCGCCGCCACCGTCGCCGCCGCCTCCAAGCCCGCCACCCCCGTCGCCTCCGCCGCCCAGCCCGCCGCCGCCATCGCCGCCGCCCCCGTCGCCGCCGCCTCCGAGCCCACCCCCGCCCAGCCCGCCACCTCCCTCGCCTCCACCGCCCTCGCCACCGCCTCCGAGTCCACCGCCCCCGAGCCCACCCCCCCCGAGCCCGCCGCCGCCATCGCCACCGCCTCCCAGCCCCCCGCCACCGTCGCCGCCGCCGCCCTCGCCGCCGCCGTCGCCGCCTCCCCCAAGCCCACCACCGCCCTCACCCCCACCACCGAGCCCGCCGCCTCCGAGCCCGCCTCCGTCTCCACCACCGCCCTCGCCGCCTCCGCCCAGCCCGCCGCCTCCGTCGCCACCGCCCCCGAGCCCGCCGCCGCCCTCGCCGCCGCCCTCGCCGCCTCCGCCAAGCCCGCCGCCGCCCTCGCCACCGCCGCCCTCGCCCCCTCCGCCCTCGCCGCCACCCAGCCCTCCGCCTCCCTCGCCGCCCCCTCCCTCGCCGCCGCCGCCCTCGCCGCCGCCGCCCTCGCCGCCGCCCTCGCCGCCGCCTCCAAGCCCGCCTCCGCCTTCTCCTCCGCCGCCCTCACCACCCCCTCCGTCGCCGCCACCGCCAAGTCCGCCTCCTCCCTCGCCGCCGCCGCCCAGCCCTCCGCCGCCATCCCCACCACCACCCTCGCCGCCGCCGCCCTCGCCGCCGCCTCCGAGCCCTCCGCCTCCAAGTCCGCCTCCGCCCTCCCCGCCGCCGCCCAGCCCGCCGCCACCGTCGCCGCCGCCTCCAAGCCCGCCACCCCCGTCGCCTCCGCCGCCCAGCCCGCCGCCGCCATCGCCGCCGCCCCCGTCGCCGCCGCCTCCGAGCCCACCCCCGCCCAGCCCGCCACCTCCCTCGCCTCCACCGCCCTCGCCACCGCCTCCGAGTCCACCGCCCCCGAGCCCACCCCCCCCGAGCCCGCCGCCGCCATCGCCACCGCCTCCCAGCCCCCCGCCACCGTCGCCGCCGCCGCCCTCGCCGCCGCCGTCGCCGCCTCCCCCAAGCCCACCACCGCCCTCACCCCCACCACCGAGCCCGCCGCCTCCGAGCCCGCCTCCGTCTCCACCACCGCCCTCGCCGCCTCCGCCCAGCCCACCGCCTCCGTCGCCACCGCCCCCGAGCCCGCCGCCGCCGCCTTCCGCCTCGCCATTGCCGCCGCCGCCAAGCCCGCCGCCGCCCTCGTCGCCTTCAGCTAACGCGAACCTGCAGTCTACGGACCCGCCGTGCTTCCCGAGCTCTGCGACGGTGCAGCTCGCCGACGGCGAGACCGTCCCCCTCTCCTCCCTCTCCGCCGGAGACTCGATCCTCGCCGCGGCGGCTGACGGTACGCTCGCTTTCAATGTCATATGAGAGGGGTGTCACTTGTTTGACTCGCTTGCTGACCAATACAGGCACCCTCGGCTTCGACGCTGCCTCCTCCTTCTCGCTGGCCGACCCGTCCGCCAAGGCGGCCTTCCTCTCGCTCGCCACCGCAACGGTGACGGTCACGCTCACCCCGACGCACAAGCTGCCCGCCGGCCCGGCAAAGGAGCTCAAGCAGGCGTCCGAGGTTGCCGTTGGCGAGATGATCTGGATCGCGTCGCCGGCCGCGGGCGCGCTCGTGCAGGCGCCGGTCTCTCCCGCGCCTTCTCCTCCCTTGCTAGTCCCCAACCCACCTCCTGACCTCTAGCCCCCCCCCACCACCACCACCACCCGTTCCCCCCCACAGGCGCCGGTCCTCAAGATAACCAAGGTCGTGGCCGACGGGCTGCACAGCCCGCTCACCAAGCACGGAGGCTGGCCGGTCGTCGACGGCGTCGCGACTTCGTACAACAGCGCGGCCGTCGTCGCGCGCAACAAGTACCTCGTCCCGCTCGTCGAGGCGGTCTGCCCCTCCCTCGGCCGCCTCGTCGTCGCGTTTGCGAACCCCAAGACGATGCACTATATCGATGGCCAGGTGCCCTGCGCGAGCAATCCCTCCTCCCTCCCTCTCTTACTTGCACTCTCCGACTCGCTCTCTGTCTCTCTCGCTCCCGCTAGGTGGTCGAGCCCCTCTCCTCGCTCGCTGCGGCCGCCCTAGCGGCCGCTGCCTTTGCCGCGCGCGAGATGTTGGCGGGCAAGTGAAGCGTCCTCCAGCTGAGGGAGGGTGAGAGGCTGTAGAGTTTACCAAGAGCACTGTAGAGCTGTAGAGATGCAGAGCGCGCTGAAGAGCGCTGGAGAGCTTGAGCACTTGATCGCGAGTGGAGCTCTACATCCGGCGTGAAGAGCGATGTGGAGCGGAGTGGCGCGATTTACTGTGTTTTCACTGTGAGAGCAACGTGACCCTCCGTACGTTTTTCTCAACGTTTGAATGAATAAAACGGACACGCCAAGCGAGGGTGGGAGAAGGACAGGGTCCCCGCCGGCACGAGCAGGATCCTTGAAGAAAGAAAAAAGAAAACGTACAGAACCCAAGGGATTTTGAAGCAGTACAGCCCCCGCGAGCCGCGTGTACGGGGGAAGGACCGTGAGTTGACGGAAATCGGAGGACGCGACCCACTTCGCCACAGACGGTCCCGCGCCTCGCCGCTATGACGGCCGCACGACCGCAGCTCGTGTGCGTGCGGCCGTCTTTGTCCGGAGTGAAAAGTCCATTCTCGGGTCCGTTGGCCTCTTTTGTAGGGAAGAATTTTGATACCCGTCAAGACGCCTGCTGGGGGCAGCTTCGCGATGAAGCCGTCTGTTCCCCCAGCAGTACACACTAAACAGATAGGAGGAGAAAGGGGACGGTGGTGGGTTCGACGAGAGAGAGGAAGGCACTGGCGACGCGCACAGGCCGACGTCAGCTTTTTGCGTCTGAGGCCGACGGCCTCGCTGAGGCCGACGGCGGTTTGACGCAAAGACGGCGCCTGCTTGCAAATTTCTTTTGTCGCCAGGGCACTTTGCCAGTGGCTCCCTGTCTGTGTTACGCCATGTGCAGCTCGCTCGTCCGCCCATAGATGCGTGCTAGCTGACTGTAGCCAGCTTCCCGGCCTACGGCGTCTACCGGGAGCCTCCCGGACCATCGACCTCGGGAGCTCTCCCGCACCGTTTAAGCGTTTAAGACCGTTTAAGGAATCGGCGGCCCAGGCAGCCTTAAAATGGGCCCGGGCCCGTTTTAAGCCGTTTAAGCCGCAGGCGCCCCAGGGCCCACCCTTTTAAGCCTAGGCGCTAGGGGTCCCCTAAGAGAAGACTGGTGCCTGATATGCTGCCTCCCTGCGGATGCTGCCGGCGAGCCTGGCGGTCCGCTGTACTACAAGGATGTGCTGACTCGATCCTACCCCGCAATCTTCTACCCCCACGACTCGGAACACGAATGTGACAGGACCATCGGGTCCTTCAGCCACCAAAGCGAGATCACCCGAGAGCAGCTGAGTCTGCCCGTCTGGCCTCGCCTCCCTCTCCTCTCCAGGCATTCGTGGCATCCTATGGGTCGTCCAGAGTATCGACCTCTGGCTTGTCAGCCGCCCCACCGAGGGCACCATGAAGTACAGCGATCGCCACCTCGCTGGCCTCTCCGCAAGCAAGGCCCCCGACCGCGTCGAACTCATCGGCGCGGGCTCTCTCGGCTACGATGCGGGACCGGCCCCGTACGGGACCGGCGGACCGGCCCCAGCTTCGGCTGAGGGCTAACAAGCTGCCGAGCCCAAATCACTGTGACAGTCGTGCACGTGATTTCTTGTTGGTCTTCAAAAATCTCTCGGTTCACCCACCCACGGCCGGGACGGGTCCCGCACCGGGCTGAAGCGAAGAAGCGAAAAAAGAGAATTTAAAACAAACAAAAATATTTAAACAAAACAACTTCTTCACAGCAGACAGGCTCGACACAGGTGCGGACTGGCGAGTGCTAGTACAAGAATAAGAAACCAGCAAAAGGCGCTGAGGCACCTCTGGCAAGGAGCGCGCCGTCGTACGCTTCGCCCGCTTCACTGAGGCGGTGGCGGAGAGCTCCCGCTTTTTGCGCAGCCATGGGCGCCTGCCTCTCGATTGCTGGCCCGCTGCCTCAACAGCGCGCCCTCTTCTTCCCGGACCGCGCAATGCCTTGTCGGCAGGCGCTCAAGGGACAGCCCTGCAGGAGAAAACACTGCACGTACGAGCACGACGCCTCCCGTTCGTCGCTGATGCAGCTGCTCGCGGTGATTGGCGACGCGACGACGACGCTGGACGTCTGCGTCTTCACCATAACGTGCAACGAGCTCGCCGACGCAATCATCGCGGCTGCGAAGCGCAAGGTGCGAGTGCGGGTCATCACAGACGACATACAAGCTACCAGCCAGGGCTCGGACGTGTCCGAACTAGCCCGAACCCCGGGCGTGACGCTGCGTACGGATCAGCAGAAGGAGGCGCA